AAAAAATTACTTTTAACTTTATATTATTTATAGGTTCGACATTGATCTTGCGTAACCCAGAGCGTAAAGGACACGATCTTCGACACTTGGTTCAAGTGTTTTGCGGTAATTTTTTTCAATTGTTATTTAATTATTATTTATTTACTGGTCCGTACGCATGTGCGGACTTGAACGTTTTTATAAAATTTTAATTTTATTGGGTCAAATATTGTTAAATTAGTGGGTCGAATTTTATAATATTGATAATTTAGAGTGTATGTGGATACAATGTTACTAATTTTGGGCCGAGTGTTAGGTTATTATTATAAGATTTAGATTGTGTCTTATAATTGGCTCGTATTTGCAGTTGTATATTCTACGTGATTATAGTTAGGTATGTATAATGAAGAAAGTGTAGATGAAGAATACCAGTAATTATGAATACATACCTTAATTTTATGTTTTTAAGTTATTCATCAAAATGTGACATTTACGAAAATATTTTATAGAATATATAGGTGAAGATGTATTCATTTATTTTGAAATGTATCTTCTTTCGGAATTTGTGATAAATCAGTCAAATGTTAGTTAATAAGTTTTAATTATAAACGACTTTTGTGGAATATGAAACACAAGGAAGAAACATGAGTAGTCACTCTTTAGGCATTGTATAAATACACACTAGAAGAGAATTTTGATCAACTAACCAAGCAAAAATTTACTCACTAAAACACAACCCATACTACAAATATTCTTCTGGTGTGATCCTCTCACAGATGTACAAAAAATATGTTTACATGAAAGAAAAATATATGTTTTCCTACATAATATTTATTGTGCATTTGTGAAGAATCACATCAGAGAAAAGTAGTTTTATTCATTGTGTCACCACAGTCTTATTGTAATTATATTACTTGCCAATGCTCACTTTCGACAAGAAATACACCGTTAGTACTTTATACCAAATTTTGAAGAGAGTATTGACTGTGTACTTCTTGTAGAGTGAGATACAAGTAATATTGATCAGTAGACAGAAATGTATAACGTTTTCCCTAAGTTTTTGCTATTGTATATTTTTTATTATTCACTAAAGTTTTTTGAAAGAACTCTAATTATTTAAAAATTAGTTATTTACTTTGAATGAGAACCAACATTGTGTAAGAAATAGAACCCTTTTAATTGGCAGTGGAAATGTTAATCTAGAACGGGTTTTCTAATTTATAAGATTGTTAGATTTATTATTTCTCATTTGCAATTATATGAAATAACAAAAAAAAAATTGGATTTATCTATACTATGTATGTCAGTTAAATTTGAAATTTTAAAAGTTGAATTATTTTAAGAGTGATTTCGATAAGTTGTGATATCATTTATTCTATTGGAAATTAATTTATTAATCCGCATCAACAATATTTTAAACTTACCATCATAAAAGTTTATTCACTATTCAAATATGATATAAATTATAAGTTACACTATAATTTATAATGCTTTAACTGGTTGACTCTTGTATTAATTATGTAATATGTAACTGTTGCGAATGTAATATTTTTGATTTAGTAAATAATTTAACTTAGTATTTCATAAATTCAACATAAAAAGTACTGTTAGAAAAGAAGACGATTAAAAAAAAAGAAGAAAGTAACTTATTGAAATAATGATTCGGCATGCAGTTTTCAAAATAAAATTAAGACAGACATTTAAATCTAATTGACCAGGAATAAGCCCCTTGCATAGCAAACTTCTCTAAAGGTGTCGTATACAACCCCATTAAATGTTTGGATATCTTCATAACTGCAAGGAACTCTAATGATATTCAACAGACAACCCAAATAAAAAATCTCTCCATCATAAATTGAATAATGTTGAAGAATAGTTGGATTTCCTGAACCCTTCACCCGTGGCCTCCACTCATGCAATGTGGCATTCCAGAAAAATTGATGAGATAGTTCAGTATAGAGCAGGAATCTGGCAGTAGCGTATATCTTGTTACACTCCATCCAAGCAATAAATTTTGTATTTTTCATAAGTTTGTCGACCTTGTTTCGCTTGGAAGAATTTGTTCTTGGTAGATAAAATTGAATATCTCTGAAAACAATCATAAAGAACTTGTTTAAACTTTTAAAGGGAAACAAATAATGTACTATAATAAGTTATTAAGCGTAATTATCTATAAATCTATCAAAAGAATTCTTAATCGATAAAAGTGGGACGCAGAAAGCTTACCTATCCTGTTCATAGCAGTAGAAATGTGGAATATGGAGATTTTTTATTCAGTGTAACAAATGAAGTTGCAGGTCACAAAAGTATGATGTGAATATATAGATGGATTTAATAGTGTTTACACGAATATACGAAAACTTTAAAGATTGCAATATACATCTGGTTTTAGAAAGTAATAACAATATATAAATATTCTTCTTATTAAATGTATAAAAATCTAGAATATATGGTTATATAATTCAATTTGTACATAATAGCTTCATAAGCCCAATTGTGTCAATTGATTGCATTGACTTGTGTAAATATTATGTCCATATATCAAAAGCGAAAGTAAAAAAACTCAAACTGGTTGGTTGAAATAGTTTTCCCAAGAAAACATGGAAATTTGGTGACATTGAATATTTTTAACTACCCTATCCTATATAAAAGTAAGAGTTGCTTCAATTATAAACATACTTCTAAAAATTTCTCTGCATTTTTCAGGACTGATAATATTAGAAAAAAATAGAGAATCACCAAGAAAAAACTTATGATGAAAACGGATTACTGATCATTAATCCACCACCATTGAACATGCAATTTGGGGTGGAAGAACCACAATCATCTCCTCCAATTTCTGAATCAGAGATTGAAGAAAACTAATATGTGGGAAGAGATGCATGATTTTCTAAGCAAATCAACTGCGAAGGCCATCGAGGTTCCTTCTGAGGTAATTTAATCTTTAAATTAATCAGTTTTATTATGTACTTTGTATTAGTGAATGTTTATTTAAATATGTAATCTCTGCAGCCTGATGGAGAAATATTGACTGATGATCCAAAAGAACATTGTAAGAAAGGAAAACACGATCTCTGTCTAGATCTGGAGATAGGTTTGAAATATATAGAATGCGGCTTCGTTAAGACAAAGATCCGCTACCTAGATACATCGGAGTGGGTAAGTTGTTAATATTCCATTAATACATTGATTTGTTTAAGTAACATGTTTAAAGTTAACAATATTATATGTTTTTGGATCTTATAGACACATAAGAAGAAACATGGAAGGAGAAACTTTGGAGTATAGCTAAAATTATCTCTGTTTAAGAGAATATTATCTAATAATGTCTGCTACAATTAGGTGTTTTATGTTGATTATAATAAAATTGACTTAATTTTAAATAATGCAATATGTTTGTATTGCTTATTATTTATAAAATTCTATGTGAAAAGATTAAAACTTCATCTGCTACATTGATTGTAATCAGCTAACATTAAAACAACGAGACCATTTTACAATATTTCCCAGTCATCCTTGGATGTTATGAAAACAGCTACAAGTCAGTTGTCAAAACTAAAATCAAAACGCAAAACAAAATTAATTAATATTTACTCTTACACGTAAAGTTGTTAATATTTCATTAGTGAGCATTGGGTGTCATTGTTAGTAGTTACATAGTTCAATACTAATCCTGCATACCTATATGGAGCGTTATAGTTGCATTGTTTGGGATAATTATATATAGGAAAATTCAGAAAGGTTCGCAATAAATGTAAATGTCCAATCCGACTTACATATATTGTTATGATACTAAATTTGGCATATTATGGAAAATGTTCGTTATTAAATTGTAGTAGTATATTTTGACAATGTCTTATTATTATGAAAATATGCAATATTTGATGGAAGAATATGTCTATAAATAAAGTAACCTTTTTAAAATAAAATGCATTCTATATAGATCGTATATGTTATATCCAAAACTATACATATATACATGTAAAATATATAAACAATAAAAACAAAGGATAGTAAAGGACAGAAATAAATTGGCAATTAAACATTACCATAATATAAATCCTATATATTACATTGCAATCTTAAGAAAGTAATTTCAAATCTATCCCAGTTATATGGGAAAATATTACATAATATCATTGTTTAACATTTATGGGAAATTATTAAAGGACAGAAGTCGAATAACTCTGTTCAGCATTTACAATCATTAGATTGTTTTTTGGTAACCTATAAAACCATACAAAATAATTATATAAATACAACAATGTTAAAATGTTATTAAAACTGTGACATAACATACTTTTTTCGATCTTGATTTCAGGATCAAACAAAATTTTGGTGGAGTCAAAAGCGTTTGATATTGATATATCACCTATACTATAAAAACAAAAAAAATAAGAATAATTAACAAACTAATGCAAAATCAATCTTAACCAGGGGCACAACCACGTTTTAGGGAGGGGGGTCAGCTGACCCCACCTAATTAAGAAAAATATTTGTTAATTTTTTTTTTGACCTCATTACCTTCTAACTCAACGTGGGTTTATGTTATATTTAAGCCCAATTTAAATACAAACTCAACTATATATATTAATTAATTTTATTTCTATTTTAGAAAACACTAAAAGAGGAAAACTGTTATAAATATTAAATAGATGCCCATTATAAGGCCCATAACAAATATTATATTTGTCCCACATCGAAAACTTGTGGTGATAACTAGGTATTTGTAGTACTATATATATATATAATATATATATATATATCTTATAATTCACGGAATAAGACACATCAATTTCCTCTCTGTCTTGATAACTTGTTCACAACACGTTATCACACCGAAAAGGTGAGAGTTAGTTTAAAAGTTTATTTTCTCACACTCGAAAATGTGGGAGTTAGTTTAAAAGTTTATTTTCTCACACCGAAAAGGTGAGAGTTAGTTTTAAAATTTATTCTGGAATTATCTTTAGCTTTTAGTTTTATAATTTGAAATTAACTAACCTTTTTTTTTCAGATAAGTAATGGATCCGTTTCTGAAAAGAAAATCTCCATCAACAGATGAAACTGACTTGGATGACTTGTCGTATGATCCGTTTCTAAATACTTCAATCGATGCTTCTAGATACTTATTGAGACAAGGTTTGCCGTTTTGTGGTCATGATGAGACAAGAGATTCTAGTAACCAAGGGAATTTTTTGGAATTATTGAAGTATACGAGTGAACAGAATGAAGCTGTGAATAAGGTTATCCTGCAGAATGCTCCTGGAAATAACCAAATGGTATCTCATATAATTCAGAAAGATATTGTTAACTGCTTTTCAGAAGAAGTAGTTAATTCCATAATTCAAGAGATCGATAATGATGTGTTTGCGCTGTTGGTGGATGAATCTGCTGATTGTTCTAAGAAAGAGCAGATGGCTATAGTTTTTCGTTTTGTTGATAAACATGGTATAGTGAAAGAGAGATTTGTTGGTCTTGTCCATGTAAAGGAAACATCTTCTTCATCTCTGAAATCTGGAATTGATTCATTGTTTGCTAAATATAGTCTGAGTCTGAAAAAGGTGAGAGGACAATGCTATGATGGAGCAGGAAATATGAGGGGTAAACTGAATGGGCTGAGAACATTGATTTCAAGAGAAAGTAGTTCTGCGTACTATGTGCACTGTTTTGCCCACCAACTTCAATTGGTTGTTGTTGCAGTTGCGAAGAAACATTTGGAAGTTGAAAATTTCTTTGATAAGATTTTTGTGCTAGTGAACGTAGTTGTAGCTTCTTGTAAAAGAAAAGACAAGATGAAAGAAATTCACTGGGATACAATTGAAAAAGGAGTAAGTAGTGGTGAAATCAAGACTGGAAAAGGACTTAATCAAGAGTCTTCACTTCCAAGACCAGGAAATACACGTTGATATTAAACAAAATTTATCTGACCCCAGTATAAAAAATTTCTGACTCCGCCACTGATCTCAACCAACTGTGTACATATGAATAGCTGATATTTTGATCTCACTTTTGTACTCTTTTATACAGACATACACAAACAACAATAGCAGCCATATGTTTGTCAGTGTACTCAACAGTTGCTTTGCATATTGTCCCCTTAGTGTACATTTCAGTTGCACATCGCTTCAGCAATAAAAATATTAGCGTTCTATCGTTAACATATTGTTATTTATATTTTGGTATGATATCATAACTACTTAGTTGGTATCCTGGAGTGTTATCATTAATTTCTCGCTGATCCCTGATGTGGTCGTGTGTGAGGGTGTCAAGTTTTACCCTAAATGAAATCAATAGCCGCAAGTGCACAGCTGATCGATTGTAGTACATAGGGATCAGATCCACAGGGAAGGAGGATCTTTCCTGCAAAAGCCTTTGAAAAAAATATAAAGTAAGGAAGTCTAGAACCAGGCGAGTTTTGTGAGAGTTTTGGTGGTGTGTTTAAAACATAAAAACGAATTTTAAAGAGAAACTATTGGAATTAAAGTGACCTAATAACTAAACTTAACGAAAAAGGGTAAAGACGAGAAAAACGGCTAACCTAATTTATTAAATGAAAATCGATTGAAAGAGTAAAGAAGCTAGACTAAAGCTTAAATGAAAATTGGTGTAAATCTATAAGAAAAGAGGCGCTGGAGTTCAGGGAAGTTTTCTCAGGGATATGAACGATTCAAAACATTGCTAGAGAGTAAATTTGATAAGATCTTAGCTTAAAACTTTTCGAACTGGAGTCACAGAGGTATGAATACGCCACTGTCGTGATCATAGACAACTATCTCTCTCAACCCTGACCAGTAGGTTTCCACTCTGGGCCCTGGAAAGAAGATTTAAGACTCGTCAGCATTCAACAAATCACCCATAGGTAGGTTTCCACTCCTATGTTTGGTTTGCTCTCCCAAACTAGATCTGACAACGGATGAACACTTTCGTGTCACCAAGCATCTGGATCAGATTGTAGTTCATGACGCTACTCTCATGCAGTAAAAACGAATTCTGAAGAAAAAGTTCTAAGATTCGGCTCAAAAGCCAATGGAATCCTCACCGAACATATATATCCCCATCGAAAATCCCTTAATCCCAACAATAAAACTACTCAGACATGATGAACGAAATCAAAAACATAGTATTAAAAAGTAGAATAGAAACCGAAATTGAAAAAGAAAGAACAAGAGTTCAAGAGACAAATCTCTCTCTCCCTAAAACCTAAAACTTAAAAAGTATTCTAAAACAATAAGAGAATATGAGGTCATACGAATTAGGGTTCCTAAAACATGTATTTATAGTGCTCAAGACATCTCTAGGGTCTAGGGTTCCGGAATCAAGGCTGGGAAAATGATATGGGCTTCAAAAATGGGCCTTCGGAGTCGGAGTTAGCTGGCCGCGGTCGGGATGAGTGTGACCGCGGGGAATAGGTGGCTGGCCGCGGTCGGGATGATTGTGACCGCGGGAAATGGCCTGTTGGCCGCGGGTAGAAACGCTTGCCGGCTAATTTACGGGACATCTTACTTTTCGCGTATCTTTTGATTGAACCGTTGGATTGCCAAGGTGTAAAGTGTGTGAGAAAGCTGATACTTCCATCTTTAATATCTCCAAATTTGAGCTGGATCAGACGGTGAGAAGGCCTTCAATCGGGGGTGAACGTCTGACGGTTTGACTCTGAGCTGAAATCTGGTTTTCTATCCATTTTGTTAAGCTTTTCCCAAAGTTACCTGAAAAGAGTCTTGGAACTACAAATACTAGAAAAACGTAATAAAATTACTTAAAAGCAATTAAAAACATAGAAAAAGTATTTCAAAACGATCCATAAAAGTGGTCAAAATACGGTGTTATCAATCCCACTTTAACCTTTAGTTTTGATAACTTCCATACTCCCCACCATGACAATTTTTCAAATGACATCTTCAAGACAAAATATTTGTATACACTGATAAATATGTACAATAGAATATATTTATCAAAATCTCGATGATAACATACCGATGAGGACGTTTTTGTCGAGTTTGTCTTCCTTGATTGACTTGAAATCAGAGAAATATTTTTCTGGCAAATTTGATGGGAAATCAGTAATCTCCTTAGCACGGGTGGTTCTGCACAAAGCGATCTTGTATGGTAATGGAGTAGTCCTTAAATCACCATAGTACTCTTTAATGATGAAGCAATTAATAGAAAGTGATTTTCCTTCTATAAGAATGCCTTTATGTTTTGCGATCAATTCTTCATTAAGAGTAGCATGAATCCTAATGCCCTCTGAATTACATATAAATAGTATTACTATATAATTTATAGATTGATTAAACTACGATCTTATATATTTGATTCCCACTCTATGCCCAAAAACAAAATACATAAGATCGCATACAAACCTTCTAATCATGTTTAGCATCACTTCTTGCAAAAAGATTAAGTGTGCTCTTCATGATTAGTGAGTAGTTTCAATATAAGGTCTTAGATAGGTAGATTAGGGTGCTGAAATGCTAGATTACCAAGTTTAGGTTCTACTCTGCATCATTCATTTTCTAACAAACCGATCTCTATGCTAGATCCTTGAACATCACATGTGGTCTAGATCTGAGGTACTTTCACGCCTGAAAAGTGTTTGTTGAAATACCTGAACCAGGTTTGTTAGAGGTTTAAGAGTCTTTCATCATGATAATGATAGTTTGCTTTCTTAAATGACTTATTGAACTGATTCTTACTGCTTGCTGATTCATGCTTCTCAAAAGGGATTTTGGTATGAAAGAGGATTAGCATAGAAGTTTAATGCCTTCATGAGAAGCACTTGGGTCCAACATAGGATTGTGAACTTGGGTCCTTTTGATTCTTCTCTGCGTATTCCTTTAATTGGTTGAGGCTAAATCTTGAGAACTTCCGCATAACTTCTGGGTAAGCTTTATTTTTCAATTTCTTTCTCATTCTTAGGTTTTCCAGATTCAGCTCCCTCTTTCCCTTTTGTCTTCATAGCACCTTCGTAGATTGATGCTTCTTTAATTTCAGCTATCTTTAGCTGCTTTTCCTCTTGCTGGTTCTTTGTTGATAAGTTTCTGCCTTCTCCATCCTTCTGAATTTCTTGACCAGGTACTTTCTTTAACCCTTCCTTGTTGATGTTCTGCATCTTCTGCTTCTCCTTCTCAACCGCTTTGTTCTTCTCCTTTGTGTTCAGGTTCTGGTGATCAAACGTGATGCTGTCTGTCTCCTTGATCATTTCTCCTTTCTATGGAGTTCTTTCACCAATCTTCTTGACTCTGACTTGGGTGCCTTTTGCTTTTCTGCCAATCATCTCATCGATCAGCTTCGTCTCATTTTCTTTCAGCGATATGTCTTCTTATTTCTTACTTGAATCACTTTTGATTTCCTTCTTGGCTAGTTCTGTTTCTTGAACGATTTCTTTGATTTTCTTGATCTCAGTCTTCTTCTGATTTTCGTCTTTGATCGTTGATGATTTGTCTCCTCATGTTGCAGATTTTCCTTCAGTGCTGAACTGCAAGGGCATTGTGGAGCTAGAAGCTTCAGCATACCCTGCTCTCTGACCGCTGTACTCAGTCTTCTCTCTTGATGCTGTTTTAGTGATTTTTTCACTCATCGACATGTGAAGATGGAAGCTTTTCTTGTCCATTCCTATCTCAGCAATCTTCCTTCCAGCTTGGTTGAGGATAATACAGCTTCTGTGTTTAAAGGTAACCTCATATCCATTTTGAATAATTTGAGACACACTTAAGAGATTTTTAGTAATCTTGGGAACCAGAAGAACATTCCTGATGATCCTCTTTCCTTTAGTAGTCATGACTCCTATGTCTCCACGCCTTTAAATCATCAAAGCAGCACCATCACCGACTCGAATTGGAACTCTAAAACTTCTATCCACCTTGATTAAGAGTCTTTCATTTGGAGTCATTGACATGTTCATAATTTGCATCATTTAGATTGCATTTTAGAGTCCAAATCATGTCTTATCTCATGCATTTTAGGTCCTTAAGCATTGTTTTAGACCTTAGAGGTTGCATTAGGTCCCATTGAGTCTTTGCATGGTTTGGAATCATTATCAGGTACTTTTGGAGCTGTTTGGAGCAGAAGATATGTGATCAGAGGTTAAAACGGTGAAGAAAGGGCTCAGAAATGGTGGAAATGGCCTAAAAGAGTTTGTCGGCAAGATCATGTACTGATGGAGGTGTTTTCTCGGCTAAAAACGCTGTCGGGTGAATTTTCTAGGCTAAATCATGTACTGGACCTGAGGCGCATCGGCTAAAATTCTATCGGGTGAAATCTCTATCGTGTTAAAGCTTATGCCGAACAGGAAGGATTTTTCTCTGCTAAAAACGTAACCGCGGGTAGCATTTCTCGGCTATTTTTCATACCGCGGTACATAGTTCTTGGCTAAAACCCGTTTGCGCCAATGAGAGCTAAAGATTGGCAATCCGGGGAAGCTTCCAGTCCGAATCAGTTGTCGGGGTCTCCATCAAAGTTAGAGAGGATCGAGTTAGGGTTCCAGAACAGTTAGAATCCTGAATTCGGAGCAGTGAGCAGAGAGTTAAGGCCATCCGGAGACACACCTGTCTCGCATCTGTTTTAAGCTGATCCCATGAGCTTCATAGATTGCGTTGGATGATGCCTTTCCAGTCAGATTCAGTAGTCGGGGCCTTCATCAAGATTCAAGTTCTTTGAGTGCTATTTCCAGAACATCTAAGATCGTCCGACTTGGAGCTGTGAATTGAGAGATATCATCTCCGGAATAAACACGGGTCTAGAAGCTGCTTTCTTACTGTTCCGATGCGATGCAAAGATGAGCCGTCTGGGGAGCCTTCCACTTCCCAAGTGCGGATGGTTCCTTTAACAAAGTTTGCGCTGGATGAGTGATCTTTCTCATGGAGCTAGTTTTAAGTCGTTTGGAGCTATGTGCTGAAAGTTATTGAGA